GCTAATATATAACTGAGCACTAATGGTTAATAAATGACAACTTAAATAATAACTAACAACAACAACAAGATGCATTTATAGAGCGCCTTTAACGTCGGAAGGACGTCCCAAGGCGCTGGATAATTGGGTCGGGACTTGAGCAGCGGGGAACTGGTCAGGGTGAGGGGAGGAAAGGGAGGGAGCGAGGAGGGGGTAGAGAGTCGAGAGGGGAGGTGAAGGCACAGTTGAAGAAAAAGGTCTTGAGATGGGCCTTGAAGAAGGAAAGAGGGGAAGCGAGGGTGGGAGTAATGCGGTCGCGAAGCCTCCACTGGCTCCCCATCCCCCAGAGGATTGAATTCAAGATCCTCATCCTTACCTACAAGGCCATTCATGGCCTTGCACCCTCTTACCTCTCCGACCTACTATCCCCCTACCTACCTGTCCGTACCCTCTGTTCCTCTGGCTCCAGTCTGCTCCACATCACCCGCCCTAACATCGGTGGCCAAGCTTTCAGCCTCTCAGCCCTATGACTCTGGAACTCCATCCCCCAGTGCCTTTGCCTTGCTTCCTCCCTTTCCTCCTTCAAGGCCCGTCTCAAGACCTTTCCCTTCAACCGTTCACAACAACTCTGTAACGTTACTAGGAATCACTGGTGCTGAAGGCAGCTCTCAAGTAAACTGTCTTAGAATACATTAGAATATACAGCACAGAAACAGGCCTTACGGCGCAACTGGTCTATGCCGTGTTTATGCTCCACATGAGCCTCCTCCTGCTCTTCCTCAACTAAGCCTTCAAGCATAACCTTCTATTCCTTTCTCCCTCATGTACCTATCTAGCTTTCCCTTAAATACATCTATGTTATTTGCCTCATCAAATCCTCGTGGTAGCATGTTCCACATTCCCACTACTCTCTGTGTGAAGAAATTTCTTCTAACTTTCCTATTTGATCTATTTGTGACTATTTTATATTGATGGCCCCTGGTTTGGTCTCCCCCACAAGTGGAAACATCTTCCCGATGTCTACCCTATCAAAACCTTTCATCATTTTAAAGGCCTCTATCAGGTCACCCCTTACCCTCCTCTTTTCAACAGAAAATAGTCCAAGCATGTTCAGCCTTTCCTGATAGGTTTCACCTCTCAGTTCTGGGATCATCCTTGTGAATTTCCTTTGCACCCGCTCCAGTGTCTCAACATCCCTTCTATAATGTGGGGGACCAGAACTGCACACAGTAATAATGTTTACTGCAAGAAATCCCTGGATGTCATGCTGATTTGTGGACCTCAGCCTTTCAGTGCTTGTGCTTTGGCAACAACAACAATTTGCATTTATATATCGCCCCTCACGCAGGATAGCATCCGAGAGTGCATTAGAGACACACTTATTGAACATTATCGGGGATGTGACTCGCCCATTTCTTGGTCACACTGGTGTATCTCTGAACAGATCCATGTAGCTCATCAGTGAGCATGCCAGCTGCTCTGAGACCCCTGACCCTAGGAAAGCTCTGGGTGTTCCTACAGTCTTTAACATTGTGTTTTCCTGGATCAGGAGCCACAGAGAATTTTGTGAACAAGTTTGAAACCATTGCTTAACTCTAAATTACCCCTCTGGATTGAACCCAGCTTGTTCCTATCAGTGGCCTCAGCAGAGCAGCCATGGACCACACAGGAATAAGTAATGTCCTGTAGCTTAGTGGTTAGAGCACTCGCTTTGCAAGTGAGAGACCTGAGTTCAATTCCAGGCAGGACAAAACCTTGGGCAAGTTTCCTCTCTCCACACGCCTGATAATAATCCCTCCAAAACCAAAAATAAATTGGTCATTTTCAATCCACGACTGTCTGTGGGACAGTGCTGTGCGCAATTGGCTGCCGCGTTCGCCCACAAATATACAGTCAATTCACTTTACAGTGTGTTCTGTGAAGCGCTTTGGGACGTCCTCCCGACGTGAAAAGCGCTATATCAAATGCAAGGATTATTATAATGTGGAAATGTGAGGATCTATGGGAAATAGAATCATGTAACATTTGTTTCTTCTGTAACTAGGAGGAGTACGCAAACACTGCCTTTTGACTTACCTTCCGCTTTAAGAACATAGAAGCACTTAAAATCTGAACTTTAACATTGAGGCCAGGTTTTTCAAACCAAATGTGTATAAATGGAGAAAGTTAGTAAAATGTGAAAGAGTTTTCACATGACGTTGCTTTTGAACATTCTGCTTTCCCACAGAATCATTCCTTTCATCTGCTTTCCCTTTTCAAGCAAAAGTTTGTTACTTCACACTGTTGAGAAGCTTAAAAGCACAGTCTTTGCAGGGATGAATCCCACTACTTCAGTAAATGCATTTTATTTGTTATGTATTCCCAAAGCATACTCCCAGTCTAGGAAAGTCACTGAGGGAATGTCAATTAGAGTGGAGGACAATATGCATCACAGCCTTGAGGCAGACTATCAGGGCCTGCAGTTTTAATGCAGCTCTTTCACTAATGATCCGATCTATTCACTTGTACTGTGCATTTGAAGATAGCTCTCAGTCCGAATAGCTCTTGCTTTCTCTTGCTGAAGAGTGGGATAAAAAGAATAAAACCAGAACACAAAATGGTGCCACTTGCTTCAGCCAGGTGGGTAAGACTGGGGTTATATTCCTTAGAACTGAGGAGGTCAATGGGTGATTTACACAGGATAATACAGCATGGAAACAGGTCATTCAGCCCAACATTTAAAACAAATTAAAATTAATATAACTACTCTGACACTAATTTCAGCTTTTTTCTATTCCATCGTCTCACATACAATTCTAAGCATCATAAAATAATGCTTTACACTGGGTAGCTGAAAAAATAAGTCTCCACGATGCTATTCTTGTGTGTCTCGTGAAGATCAGTCACTGCATGTGATATAGGAGCAAGCTGCTTCTCTTTGTACTCCAAAATGCTACCCTGTGTGAAGGCCGTAGATAAATGCAAGTTTATTGTTGTTGTTCTTCTGCCCTTTCAAACCCAGATGCACTAGTAAAGGAGAAGAGAAGAGAGGATAAGTTCTGCAATTCCACCTAGCTTTTGAGTCAATTTTTTCCAAAAATGCAAGATTGTGTGGAATTGTGTAAAATTCCTCAATTTAGTTTTAATTTGGAAGCTATATTTTTCTGAAAGAGAACCAGCTTCCAAACTAAGCCTGGATTGAAGAATTTTACACAATTCCGCACAATCTGATACTTCAAGACAAAAATGGTCTTGCAGGCTAAGATGAAGTCATTTAAAAAGCAGCTTAATGCAATGAAGGGGGGAGGCTGGGGGGGATGGTGGTTGGTATGATGGGTGTTCTGCAGTGATGAGATTGGATGAATGAAAGGCCTTCTTCATCCACATCAATCTTGTGACGTGAAATTTAATTTCAAGCCTAATAAAGAGGTTTCTCAAGGTGCTGGATAGTCAAGGATTTGCACCCGAGCTAGGAGTTGGGATCAGGAGGAGTGGAGGGCAGGGAGGATTGGGGTAGGAGGGTAACGGGCCTTGAAGGGGCAAGGCAGGCAAGAATAAACCACAAGAAGAGTCAATATACTTACATCTGAGACGACCAAAGTGCTTTGTGGTTCTGCAGATGTCAAATGTTTGTGCCAGGTACCAGGAGTAATAATCAGTGCAATACCTAAACATTCAGTTCATATTACATCATTTGTACATCTGGCAACAATTTCATGTATCTTTAATAAAGAAATTGGTATAAGTATCCCTACAGTGATAGGTTGAAAAAAGCCAGTATGGCTGAGGCTATTTACTTTTTTCTAACATGAATGTAGTTTCTAGAATCATACAACAACCTTTACATTTTCAGATCTATTGAGAGATTATAGGGTTAACAAATGAACTATATGATGTGGTAATTTTCATATAGTCAAGCATTTTGCTCCTGGCAATGTTGATGATACTTAAAGTTGAATTAAGCCAATTTTTCCCAAACTGTCACGGAAATGCTGAGATTAGGATGGGCAGCAGGTTCAAAAATGCCATCACCAACCTAGTAATAATAATAACAATAATAATTCTTATATCTTATGTCAGGGGGACATCTCAAAGTGCTTCACAGGGTATATTGTGAAGTGAGGTGACTCTATTTTGTAGACAAATATCCACAATGTCCCATCCTCCACGTTCTCTGGAACTCTCTTCTAAAAAAAATTGTACCTTCTCTCCCCAACTTAAACACCTTAAAAATCTATAAAATATATAGGCACTAGACTTTTCAGTAAATCCTTTGAGTGGGTGTGAAACCTTTACCCGACCTTAAAAGCACTATATCAAAAGTAAGGATTATTACTGTATAATTATCTTTACTGTAGTTTGAAGCTGAACTCTGGGTCTGGAAAATCGCAAATGAATACCCAATTGTGTGGAATTAATTGATCTTAAACCAACAGCAGTAAGTTGGTTAATAAATTACCTCCATGGCTTCGCCCCATCCCTACCTCTGTGACCCTACCTCCTAACACTTAGCAAACACTGGCCTGCTTCATTCCCCTCCTCCTACCCATTCCACGCCATCATCTGTGGATGAGTTTTCAGCCATTCGCCCCTTCTCTGGAGCTACATTCCAAAGTCCTTCCATTTTGCCCACCATGTCACCTCCCACCATAGCCTAAGACGTATCTTTTTGACAGCACTTCCAGCCATATTTCCACTACTTTTCCTCTCCTCAGCTCTTCACCAGCATGGGTTCCCAGTCAGCTATATGAAGCACTTTGCAAAGCCCTCCTAATGTGAAAGGCGCTGTAGAAATGTGGAATGTTATTGTTGCTTCATCCTTAATCACCCTAAAAATCATCCTGATTTTGTACTGTGTGATGGATGTACTTTACACCCACACCACCACTCCTGGAGGATTCATAAAGTTTAGTTGGAAGCAATATGAAATGCAATGAATAACATCCCATATCAGTTGTGCGAATAAGAAATCAAGTTTCTGATAGAGTCAAAGCAACATAATCGACAAATTAAGGCAAGAATAAAATGCTGCTTAGGTTTACCTCAAAGCATTCCCCCTCGGCTGACCCCGCTTCCCAACGTTGCAGAGGCATTGTTGAAAGAATCGGCAAAGCTCTAGAACACAAGGATTTATCTTCTGAATAACCACTGTCACCGGCACTGGAACTATCAATGGTTTATCTTCTCTGGGTTTAGCAATAGCCCGGCAACCTGCAGTGTACATTAGATGTTAGCGTGGAATGAAATGAAGGCAACCTGACCTTTTATTCTCAAGATTCTTGCTGAATGCAGAGCTTCTGGTCAGCAGTATTACTCAGATCAATGTTAGATTCTTTCTGTTCATTACCAACATCTCCCAAACAATGTCCATGCTATTATTATTAATGATAATTATTTTAATTATTGCATTTGATGCATTTGATGTAGCATATTTCACGTCTGAAGGACGTCTCAAAGCACTTCACGAGAATTATAACAGGTAGTGAGTGACTGGACATTTTTGAGTGAATGCAGCAGCCAATTTGTCCACAGCATTGTCCTGCAAACAGTCATGAAACAAATGATCATTTGCTATAGATCCCACCCATACCTTTTCCTTAAGATACTAGTCTTTGAATTGGTTTCCTATTTATTTGTAGTTCCCTTTCAAATAATCAGCTTTTTGATTGTTATCATTTTCCTAACAACTCCCACAGTCACCATTATTCCTGCCAGAGAGGGCACTGGCTAAACTGCTCCCAAATATCTGTACAGGCAGCTTTGTGAGCAGTGACTGGAAGACACTACATTGGATGAAATGTACTGAGCTGGTTCCTGTTCTCCCTTCACTCTCCATTGCCAGCTTAGCTCACTTGGTAGGACTCTCAACACTGGGTCAGTAAGTTGTGCGTTCAAATGTTATTTGGATTTGAGCTTCACTGCAAAGCTGGTGAAATACGACGTTCTTATAAGTGTTGCCCATTGGATGAAACTTTACATCCAGGTTCTGACATTAAAAATCCCATGACACTATTTGAGAAGTGAGTTTCTCTCAGTATTCTGGCCTACAATCTTTCAGATAAAAGTGGTTGTTCGCTTCATAACTGTTTGCAGGACTATAATAAGTGCAAAATGGCTGCATCTTTGTCTAGAACTATTACTACACTGGGTAGTATTATTGTAAAGAAGTTTGATACATTTCTTCAACACAAGCTATAGAAATTCAAGTTCTATTTCCCGCAATGTACAAGATGTAGGTTCACAAATCTCAAGAAAGCTTTGGATGAAGAAGGTGCTTTGTTCTTTGTCAATTTATCCTCCCAGAATACTAATCCTACTGCCTTTTATTACTTTTAATATATTTCTCCTCTTTCATTTAGGCTCCTGCACTACTCTTTATTATACACCTATTGGTGCCACTCTGAAATTGTAAACTGTTAGAACAAAGATGTGCTGTGCAACATAATCTGCAGACTTTAACCAGTATTGTTGTAATTCAAGTTTTAGCTGATAAAACATAATGTGAAAAGGTAGAGATTAGATTAAATAGTGTGCATAAAACTTACTTGTATTAGCTGTGCTGAACTTACCTGAACGCATTGCTACAGTTACAAACCTCTGAGTAGTTTCAGATTTATAGGCCGAGGAAGCTGAAATAAAATTGTATTACAGATTACTTAGCTGTATAAATGGCCACCTTCATAACAATAATCCTTACAATAATCCTTGGGACTTCTCAAGCACTTCACTGTGTATTTTGTGGGTGAAATGTGGAAGCCAGTAAGTTCACAGCAGCATCCCAGAAACAGTCATGGAGTGAGTGAATATGTTTTTTACTTGGGGAATTTGTTGGCCAGGACAAACTCCCTTCTCTTTTTGAATAGTATCATTGGATCTTTAATATCCACCTGAACAGACAGATGGGACCTTGATTTAACATCTCATCCGAAGGACGGCACCTCCAACAATCCAACATCGCCCCAGAACTGCAATGGAGAGTCATTTTAGATTATGTGATTCTAAGTCCCGACGTGGACCAACGACCTTCTGACTCAGAGGTGAGAGTTCTGCAAAATTAGAGTGCAGAATAACAGAAAAAATTGCACAATGTTTACAGCAGAGAAGGAGGACATTATCTGAGCTGGTGCTAATTCCTCTGATCCAATTTCCAATTTTTTCCCCATTTTTTAAATATTATTTTTCCTCAAGTATTTATCCAATTCCTTTTCAAATGCTATCATGGACTCAGCTTCAATAAGCATTTGTGGTAAAGCAATAGGTTTGTTCTGCAAATAATATGTAACCAAGTGTTTTTAAAACATATGTGTTGTAACTAAATGAGATACATTAGCAGAAATCTTTAGTTGTCAGGTTCAGTTGTTTGTACTTTTGCAACTGAGACAAAAGAGTCAAGCCCAACGTCGGGAGCTCACAGTATAGGCTGGCCCTCCAGTGCAGTACTGGAGGTGGTCTGAATTGTTGTGGATGCCTTTCTTCAGATGAGAAGTTAAACCAAGGTCATGTTTTCTTGTTCATGTGGATATTAAGGATCCCATGCCACTGTTCAAAAAGTAAAGGGAATTTCTCTCAGTGTCCTGGCCAATAATCCCCCACATAGAAATGGTCACACAATAAAATCTTGTGAAGCAGTTTGAGACATCTTAACAATGTGATATCAAGTGCAAGAATTATAAAATGTTTCTTTCTTGCTTTTTGTGGCTTTGTGGGGACTTCCCTAACGTTCACTGCTTCACTTCTGGTGAAGGGTTATCTTTCAAATGCTCAGCTGATTTCCACTCTATCACGTGGTAATCAATACAAATAGAAACCTTTTTGTAAGGATTTATAATCGTGTTTCCATTTGTGATTGAAAGATAAGTCGCTGGCAAAAATATCAGTGAAAATGACACCTCAGAATGTAAAGTGGAGTCCTGTAGCTCAGCGGTTAGAGTACTTGCCTCGCAAGCGAGAGATCTAGGTTTGATTCCCTCCAAACGCCTGATAATAATCCCTCAAGAAAAAAATAATAAAACAACTGTTTGTGGGACGCTGCTGTGTGCAATTGGCTGCTGCGTTTCGCCCACAATATACAGTTAATTCACTTTACAGTATATTCTGTGAAGCGCTTTGAGATGTCTAGAAGACGTGATAGGTGCTATATCAAATACAAGAATTATTATTATTATTAAAGTGGAACTCAAAGTACATTGCGCTGAGCCATGGAACTCTGCTCCCAAGCCTTTTCAGTACACGTTTGTTTGTGTTTTTTCCCCAATAAACAACAAAACAAACAAATAAATAGCAAAGAGATTGCAAAGTTAAGTGATTGGCTCAATAGTCTTAAGAAATGCCATGTATACCTTTGGATGTAAATGTTTGTGGCAGCATAACAGTTTCTCGTCTGGTGGAATGTAGAGGGGAGGAGAGCAAAGTTGATGAAGTTGTCACAGGCTCTGTAAAAAGTGAACAGGGCAAGGAGAGAAGCAGGTGTGATCGAGTTTAAGCAATGATAGTGGGTTTAATTGGGACAGACACACTCAATTCATGTATTGCATAGACTCTGGTCAGAAGAGATTGGAAGGAGATTAGTGGGTATTACTCCACTGGTCTGGAGATTTATAAACCTCGGTAAGCAGGCGAGTGTGTCTGAATCTCAATCTTTGGGGGGAAACTTCCATTTAGAACTAGATTTACTCCATTTTCTCAGCATTTCAGAACATGCAAAATTTGGCAAATTGCAGATTTCAGAATTAATTTTGAAGCCGGTTTTCTACAGTTCGCAAAAGAACTTACAGAAAACCTGCTTCAAAATTATCACTGCATTTGTCAAATTCTTTATTCTGAAATGCCAGGAAAATAGAGTAAATCGAGACCCAGGTGGAATTTCTACACCTTAGAGATTCAGGACCTCTCACTTACCAAGGTTTGCTGACCAGTGGGACAACACCTATTAATCCTGTTTTTTTTTGTGGAGTCCTGTAGCTCAGTGGTTGAGCACTCGCTTTGCAGGCTAGAGACCTGAGTTCAATTCCAGGCAGGGTGAAACCTTGGGCAATTTTCCTTACTCCACACAGAGCCTAATAATAATCCATCCAAAACCAAAACCAATAATAAATTGGTCATTTTCAATCCATGACTGTTTGTGGGACATTGCTGTGCGCAATTGGCTGCCGCGTTCGCCCACAAATATACAGTCAATTCACTTTACAGTGTGTTCTGTGAAGCGCTTTGGGATGTCCTCCCGACGTGAAAAGCGCTATATCAAATGCAAGGATTATTATTATTAATTTCCTCTACAAAAAGATTTCATTGTCTTTCTGCCCCCTTCCCCCCAAAAGACATGTAAATGTAGATTCTTGCTCTCTCTCGCTCTCTGCGAGTATTCATTCATAATTGTTTGCCATCATTGGTTGAGCCCTTGAATCAATCTACTCCCCTCTGATACAATCTACAATATGGCTACAAGTTCATAACTTTTACATTTATTTAATTTCACTTAGTTGTCAGTGAACAGGATACCAGTTTACCGGCTGCTGTCTGCTTTTGTGATGGACTTTGTATTGTGAGTATCTGAGTAGATATAGCCACTGATGGTGTGTCCGGTACATTTGATTCTGAAGGGAAAAAAAGCACAGAAGAATTGTTTTTGTTTATCCCTTATTTTAATTGACTGAGAAGTAATTTATTGGATGCTACAGGAATAGTTGCTCTGCCATTGGTTTATATTCTAGCACAATGAGGGTGAAAAGTGTGATGTGTGATTTGATGGTGATCACTGTTAATAATTATAGCCTCACTTTGTATTTTTACCCCTAAATTTGAGCAATGTTGCCAAAACAACAACTTGAACAAATCACTGTCAAGAGGCAGATTGACCCCCAGTGACATCACATGTCAGTCAGGCAAAGCCCAGCAAAGTGCTGCCACTGCAGAAACCTGAACCATTTTCTTAAAGGTCCAGGCCTGTTGGAGCCTGAATTGGTCAAGATTTGAATCTTTTGCTGAATCAGCCCAGATTCAGACTTGGACGCAAACCAAAAATTTCATTCAGACTTTGTGAATCCTGTCCCAGGAGAGAGAGGAAATGCTCCTCTTTTTCAAGCTGTGATACAGTTTAAAAATTCCAAATGAAACGTCCGAGTCAAATCCGATTCCTGAGCCAGGCTGGTTTGCAACACTCCAAGGCACTGATGCTGATGCACCAGTCAACCTGGCTCATTGGCAAGACTTGGAAGGGCAGGGATTTTTCCCACCCAACAAGCAGATTCCCTAATGGTAGGATGTTCCTAGCTGGACAAGCAGCAGGAAGCTTGCCAGATAGCGTTCTCAATGGCAAGCTATGTAGTTTTAGTTTGTTAAAGTCCAACCTGCACCTATCACTTGCTGGATTTCAATAAGCAGGGTGCATCTCTCCAGGGAGAGAGTGCATATTCCATTCTGACCCAGGGAAATGTCCTTCTGTAGGTGGTATACATATGTGTAACTCTTGGTCTGGTTTGGATACTCTGAAGCGTGGTGATGGGTTTCTGCATGCATGATAACAAGAACAGCAATAACAACTTTCATTTATATAGTGCCCTTCACTTGGGGGAGTGTCGCAGAGTGCTTAACAGTGGCGGAGCTTAACACTAGCCAGGGAGAGGGGGGAGGTGATCGTAGGCAAGGTCAAAAATGAAGGTCTTCAGGTGTGACATGGAAATTTACCCATGTCTGTGCATCACATAACCAAGAAGTGGCTAAGGATGAAACCTTGGGGTACGTTGCAGGTGACCCATCGGGACAGCAGGAAAAAACATTTACAGAGATTTGGAGTTGATAGTAGGTCAAACAGGACTCGAACCAGGAGAACACAGTCCTACTAAGGGGATGAAGGAGGAGAGGAGGTCGAGGACGATGGGATGATCAATTGTGACGAAAACTGCAAAGAGCTCCAAGGCACAAAATGCCCTGGTCACAAAGAGAGATAATGTCACGTTTGAAATGGACCAGTGGTTTGCAAAGTTAGAAAGATCAACAATGTTTTTTTTTGCAGGAGGACAAGGAGGCAGAGGGAATTCTTTTCACAGAGAGAGTGAGAGAGAGTAACCAAAAAAATTCTAAATAACATTTCAAAAATGGCATATCAAAACCATGCATACTTGTCTGAGTTTGAGATAAAGTTGTTTTTGTAGCATCTTCTGCAGCAGTCGATGTGACCAGTGTCAAAATGCTTGCGGTTTCTGAAACACAATGCCAGTCATTTTTTTTAATATTGGTGGTGGAAAAGCTAGTGCATCACAAGAGATTAGATGTTGCATCAGATCCATTACAAAACATTACATTCTAAACCTCAACATCTTTCAACGTCCTTCTCCCTTTCTTGTTTGGATTATGCACTTAGGGGAGGTTAGCAAGAACAATAATACAGGATTGATATCCTTTAGCTCTCCCTCGCCCACCCCCAGCCTTTGATAGCATCAACGCTAGAGATTCAGCAGTGAGGATACCGCAGGCAGTTTGAAACGCAGGGCTCAATGACTCCATCAGTATTGGGTCATAGCACTAACCTCTTTTGTAGTTTCAGACCTTTCCAAGGACTTGCATGTAAAGTGTAATTTATGGATCACATTTCTGCATTTCCTAAGCAGGAAAAGAGTTGAATGATCTGAAGATAATGCATCTTGATGGGTCCAGGCATGCTCTGTATCTGACCCCTGTCTTAGAAGGACGCCTCATGATACATCAGCTTTGCATTGAATTCCCACACTTTCTGCACTTGGGGCATATTTAGTTGAGCCGGTTCTAAAACGAGACAAGCTTTGTGCCTGTGGAGGTTTATCGACTGGGAACTGGAGACTGTCAGACTGATTTCACCAGTAACACTTAGCAGCTGTCAGGGACAGTGGACACTTAGTGCATCTGCCTGTGTTGGATTTGATCCCAAATGCTGGATGTGACAGGAGAGGGCTTTAACATTCTGTTATCTCGTCCCCCAGTCTGTTCACTTGTAAGTATTCTGAGGAGTCCTAGAGGATCGCCTGGAAAGAAACACTGCAATAACCTCTACAACAACAACAAGATTCCATTTATAGAGCGCCTTTCACGTCAGGAGGACGTCCCAAGGCACGGTACAGTTGGGTCAGGACCCGAGCAGGGGGGAAATGGTCAGGGTGAGGGGAGGGAAGGGAGGGAGCGAGGAGAGGGTAGAGAGTCGAGAGGGGAGCTGAAGACATGGTCAAAGAGAAAGGTCCTCCTTGAAGGAGGAAAGGGAGGAGACAAGGCAAGGCACTGGGGGATAGATGTGTTTAGTAATAAAATGCAAAGCACGTTTGTGTTACACTCAGCCTATAGCATTAAGTGTTCTTGTGCCAAAACATGTATTATAAAAAGGGTAATTTAGGTTGCCAGATAGGATATTTATTTGTTGACTTTCTCCTCCTCTCCTGAAAGTATTGCTTTATTGATGTACATTTTCCAAGGGTTTGGAAACATTCCAGTATATCACCCAAATGTCCACCCAAAGACCAGCGAGCAAGTGTTGGCAGATTATTTGACTTGGAAAGAGATCACAGCCAAACCCAATGCTGTCTTCGCACTTCCCAGGAGAGGACACTCAGTAATGCTCAGTCGGGAACATTGGCCTCCCTGAGTCCAAGGGCAATTGTCATACCCAGCTGTTGTCCTGGCTGAGATCAACCAAAAGAGCACTGAACAAGATTCATATCTGCATTGTTCTGACCTTTGTCCCGAAGTGCTAAACCCCAGGCAGTGACTTTACAGGTTGGGGAAAACAGATTATTTTCATAATTTACACAAACAATACGCATAGGCAATTTAATAGCAACTCAGAGATCTGAAATTCCACCTTGTCTTGGTCTGTGAGACCACTTTATCTTTAAATTTAAAATGATGCAAAATACAATTTAGAGTATGATTGAAAATGTAAAACCATATACTGACCGGGTGTTGTAAGACTCCTGCTAAAGAAAGTGTGATTCAGGACAGGCTGTAGTGAGTCAGAAAGCCACAGTGGAAATGTGCCTCTGTCTATAATAATAAAATAATATCAAGTCTGCAATAATAATGACATGATTAAGTCTATCAGAATAACGGTATTGAGTTTGTATCTGTAATAGTCTGTAATATTGACAACAATATTAATCATGTGCCTGTATGACAGTATTATCCTCCTGATATGAAAGGTGCTGTACCAAATGCAAGGATTATTAATTTTATTATAATGGTATTGCAACTTTGTCTGTAATAGTATTCGGTTTCTGTCTATAATACAGAATAGAGTCTCTCTGTAACATTAGTATTGAGTCTGTCTATATTGAATCTGTGTATGTAATATAGTGGTGAGTCCACTTATAGTGAGTCCATACTCTTTGGCTCTCATCAACGTCTAAAATCACATGGTTCTCACCTCCTCCACCTACCCGACCTGCCCCTAAAACTCTCCGAACCCGTACACAACCTAGGCATCAGGTTCAACCCCCAATTATCCTTCCTCCCCGACATCCGATCCCTCACTAGCACCACTTTCATCCACCTCCGACGCATTATCCGTCTCTGTCAATACCTCACTCCAAAAGCCGCTGAAACCCTGGTCCATGCCTTCGTCACCTCTCGGCTGGACTATTAAAATTCCCTCCTTGCCAGTCACCCATCCACTACCATTCACAAAATCCAGGTCATACAAAACTCTGCCGCCTGCATTCTTACCCGCACCAAACTCCACTCCCTGATCACCCCAATCCTTGCCAGATTGCTCTGGCTGCCTGTCCCACAGAGGATCGACTTCAAGATCCTCACTCTTGTCTTCAAATCCCTCCACTCCTCTGCACCCCCCTACCTCTCTGAGCTCCTCTCTCCTCAAAACAGTACCCTTCCTCACTCCCTTCACCTCACCCCCTCTCTTCCTATTTTCAGGTGTCGGCTGAAGACCTTTCTTTTCGACTGCGCCTTTGGTCATCTTCCTCCCCCTCCCCCTGGCTCGGCCCTGGGATCTGTTACTGAGAAACGCTCTGAGACGCCGTCCGGTGTGGAGGGCGTTATATAAATTCAAGTTGTTGTTGTTATAGTCTAGATTGTGTCTATAATAATAAGTGTCTGCAATATTAACAACTGTTGGATTAAATTTTTTTACATAAACAGAACTCAAAGAGCAAACAAACTGCTTACTTAGAACACCAGCCATAACACAGATAAAAATGCAGTCGGTTTCATTCCTACTGACTGGAATAGAAAGAAAAGCCAAATAAGCATTTCCTTAAATGACACTGCAGTAGCTTCCAATATGAACTGGGTTAAGTTATAGTTATAATACTGAATTTGTATGCAATTTAATTGTTAAGGTCCTAAGTCATAAAAACAATAATCTTGTGAAATTTACATCATAAACCAATGTCCTGACAGGTTTGATACTATTGTTATTCTAAGATGACCACTAGAACCTGACTGAAAGTGTTGTAAAGTCAATTTACTTTATAGTATATTCTGTGAAGTCCTTTGAGACGACTCAAGGATGTGATAAGGCGTTATATCAAACACAAGGATAATTATTATTACTATTATTATACATACAACTTTCCCTCTGTCTTTCCTTCCCTTCGAGTAAATGCCACCTGCTCTACAGAGAGCCTGAGATCAGGAGCTCAGTATTGGGGGTAGCTGATATTGTATCCCACCACACCTGTTGGTTCACCTCTATAGCTTCTCTTTTAGCAATAATGGACACAAAACTAATATTAGAAGAAAAGTTCAATTGAACTTTATTAGTATCATAAAATCAATGGTGTGAAAATTCTGATGAAGGGTTGTGGATCTGAAACGTTGACTCACTTTCCTTTCTCCATAGGAGACCAGCTGAGTGTTCCCAGCAACTTCTGTTTTTGTTTTCAGATTTCCAGCATCTGGTTTATTATTTATAAAGGTTGGTAGAATACTTTGCTACAATGCTAGAACAATGTGTTAAAACATGGTTAAAATGCAGTTTGAAGTCTGTGATTCCCAACAGTAATCTCTGATCTCCTATACACTACCCAGCAAGTACCTACACATTGCAATAGTTTTGAAAGCTCCAAAGCAATCATTTGGCATGTTCAAAACATTATTGTTAATAAAATAACAAACCATAGAGAATGGAGCTAGACTTAAAAATCTCCTGGAAGTAGCTTGTGGTATTCCCCACAAAGTCCACGACCACAGCAGTGAAATCTGTAATGGAAAGAACATATACGTCATCTTCTAAAGAGTATAGTGTTGTTTGTGATTTTATAGGACACACTCTGTGCATGCTCATCTTCACGACAGTACATTGCTTCCTTGAGCAGTAAAACATTACCTGCTTATGGGTGTCAGCCTGGCTCACTCTTGCCCCGGAGTCAGAAGGTTGACGGCTCAAGCCCAACTTTGAACTCATAGTATAGACAGGGAAAACCTGGTCTTAGCGCTGCACTGTCAGAAGTGCTGTCTTTTGGATGAAATATTAATAATTTCCTTAATAAGACATTCTGTTAGAATTCTAATATAGTTAGAATTCCAATCAATCTGCAGGAATTTCATTCTTGCAAGTAGATCATATCAGATCAGAGTTCCCATGTGTCAGCAAAATCCTTACTAAGGAAATGATATTGTAGCAATACAGTCCAGTGTAGATTTATCAGGGATAAGAGAATACAGCTATCAAAAAAGACTGGGAAGGTTACAGTTTATTCTCCTGAGATGGGTTTACTGCGATGGGGACCTGATAGAGGTAATAAAATTATAAAAGGTTCAATAATGGTGAACATAAATAAACTATTTCTGTTTGTTGTCGAGTCCATAACAAGGAGGTATAAATAGAAGATAGCTACTTGTAAATTTAAAAGGGAATTTAAGATGAAGCTCTTTACACAGTGGATGATGAGAATGCGGAACACAACACCAGAAGCCATGGGTGAAGCAGAAAACATCAATGCATTTAAGAGGAAACTGGATGTGTACATGAGGGAGAAGGGAATAGAGATTTGTGGAAAGAGGATAGGGAGTAGAGGGTAGGTAGAGCCTCATGTGACATGGATTAGTTGAATTGAATGTTTCAGTGCTGTACTGTTTATGTTATTTTATCTAAAGTTACCGGAACTTCCTGTTTGCACAACTCAATAATATGAATTCTGTTAAGAAATTTTTAAGTACAAATTACACAGTTTTGTGTGAAGGGAATATTTCTCTAGGTAAAGAACTCACCTGACAAGTCATTGGTTCTGTTGTTTAAGCAGTAACAGTACCTCAGTGGGAAAAGGGAGGGGTCGATCTTCCAGAAGTTGGAAACTGCAGACAAATGAAGAAGAGTAGGCACTCATGCTTTCAGTCTCCACAAAATAATTCAGAAATTGTGGTGAAAATACAAGCTGTGAACACTTACTGTTGTAAATGACCAGGGACACTTTGTGAAGAGCAAAGGAACTATGGGAAGTAACACTCAGCAATGAGAAGAACTGTTGATCTCCTGTGGTGAACATTTTACAAATATAGAGTAACCTTTGCATAATGCATGCATATAAAACATATTACTCCAGATTGAAACATACAATCTCACATATAAGTAAACATTAAATGTTTCCGTAATTATTCGTATGTAATGCATGTCATATTGACCCTTGCATTCTATATACCTATAACTCCTTTTAATATCTTTTATTTCAGGTTTGGCAATTTGTGAGAACTTAGCTCTGATCTGAAATCACCTTGGAGCAGAGTTTTCTCAAGACAGTGTAAGTTGTGAAGCATTAAAGATAAATGCAATTTTGATTAATTCCTAATATGTTGCTGTCTATTGTTATTTGGTTGCTTCGAAATAAACACAAATGTCAGAGTCCCCTCATTGCTTGCAATTGTTTGTACATATAAATCAACCAGAGACTTACTGTGAAGTGTTGTGTTTATCATCATATTAACCAATTCTGTCAGATCAATGCCAGCAGGATCGAGAGATTCAACTGGTAGTTCTGAAAATGAAGAAATTACAGCTTTCAATATTACTAAAAACAATTCTCTGTTGAATTCACAGTGGACAGTATCCTTCTTTTTATTGTGCAGTAATCATCATGATCCATTTAGAAAACACTATGTGATTGTATGGATTGTCTGTTCTGGACAGTTTTATTGAGTTTCTTCTGATTCTTTCTCATCCTCCTGAAGTCGTTGTCGATACTGATATTCCTTAATGGGATTCCTTAAGAGAGAACCTGAGTCACACAAATGGGAACTTCATCCAATAATTGAAAGCAAATCACACCATCCAGCATGAACTCTACTCCGATCTAGCTCTGGAGTACAGACACTGTGGGACAAATAGATTTCTGAAGGAATTTATTATTAAACAACCCTAATCCTAATCTAAATCATTAAATGCTGAGTGATTGAACCCAAATGTGTATGCCACCTACTCTGATTAAAAGACCACTAACTCGCAAGAATTAAAATGCCTCATCAAACTAAGTCCACCTGAAAGGATTCCTATACCTATTTTAATTTAAAATAAAACCTATCTTTATTATTTATTAACCCACCCGTTTCAATATTCCAAGGAATTCTACGTTCAATAGCCTAAGGTAAATCAAATGCAACTCTGTGCAGGTACCAGAAACACAAGATGTGTTAGACCATTAGACCTCATTAATATTATCTCGATTTATGTCAGCTAGTCAGAGTGAAGTTTCCTATTGGAAATTGCCCTTCAGCATGCCAGAAGTCAAGAATAGCAATGCATTATGTCTTCACTCTGGTACTGTTTTCGTGATGATGGTACATGTAGTGAGACATGTGAGAAGAGTGATAATGTGGCAATGGCTGTCCAACTGAGAATAGGAAACGCTGTCTCTGAGTTCAGAGATCATAGTCAATCTTACGGAATGATAATGAGAAAGAAATTGCTGAAAATGTGTTTGAAAGATGCAATAATAACTTGGGATCATTAAACCTGATGAGCTAAAATAATCAGGTCAACAAGAGAACACAGAGGGTTTGAATTTGCAACCTTCACTAAATGGCGTTTTACTCTCTGTTATTTTCTGCCAAATGGTAGCTTTTGGATGTTGCAATTCACCATCCTGAGAATCACATCTCCAGGTGGGATTTGGCAGCCTAGAGAGAAAGGTGGAAGCAGAAGGATTTGGGAAGAGAGTTCCAGAGGAGAGATAAAATGACCAATATGGGCAGAATGGGTGGGCAGGCAGCTGAGCGATCATGAGGCAGTCTGGAGTTGATGGAGCAGTGGGAGTAGCCAGGAGAGTAAGGTCATAGGTGATCACAGTGATAAGGTGGTGCAAGGCCATGGAGGCATTTAGAGGTGAAGACCAGAATTTTCTGAAATTCTGCTCAATCTTAAATTTCAAGATACTGTTCTTAACACTAAGACCATGAGAAACCTCTGGCCTCCAGAGTACAAAACAGGAGTGAAACAGTGAGCGGAAGATATTGGAAAGACACAGCTGTATGGTCAGTCCAGAATCTCTCTTCAGCAATCATCAGCTCTAAGGAAGTTAGTCAGGCTCAACTACAAGAGGCATGGCTCTTCTGCACACATTGTGGCCATTATTAGCTTTTTCTTATATTACCATTCATAGTGGAACACAAAAGAAAAACGAGAAGAGCCCTTGGGTGGGTGAAGGGCTACCTGAAATGAAATGTCAATCTGTTGGCTTATGGTTATGTTGTCAAACACTGATTTATCAATTTGTGACATAGAATGACATAGACTGTACTGCACTGAAACAGGCCACCAGCACAACTGCGGAACTCAGCACAGAAGCTGTATTAAACAAGAAATACATGAGGGAGGTGGGAGTAAAAAGGTATAGGAAAAAGGAACAGGAGAGGTGGTGTAAAAACACCAATAAGGATTAGTTGGGCCAAATGGCCTGTGTCCATGCTGTATCATTCTATGTAATTCTATATAACTATCCATACTAGTGTGTATAAGTCAGTGTGTTTGATTGTGTCCAGCCAACAGAATCGTTTCTTTACCGCTCTCCCACACCCTTCTGTTCATTTCTTATTCATGTATGCATTGAGTTCCCTCTTAAAAGTTTTGATGCTTTCCTCTTCATCCACAGCTTTTGGCATTGAGTTCCACATTCTCACCATCCTCTGCGCAAAGAAGTTCCGTCCTAAAACTTATATCTATGCCCCCTTGTTCTGTTATGTTTTATTGCAGAATAATGACCCATTCATCATTAAAGCACAGGTCAGATGATTAAGCCACCTTCTTCTCAATCTGTTTTGCCTGAGCAAAGGAGAATTATTTTACCAGAATCTGATCATAAGGATTTGTACTGAGAGACTTTCAGTTGAAGTCACTGCCAATCTTTGTACTTCTGCTGCTGGTTTCTACTGAATTAAATTCCAATTCCCACAGCCAGTTTTCCTGAACATCACATTAGTGTAATAGATTGTTTTTCAGTGTTTGATCTGGTTCCTTGTGGTTTTAAAAAGAGATTGATAAAATCCAATCAAGATAGTTTCTTTTGAAATGAAACTTCAAGAGAACCAAACTCAATACTTTGATTCAAAAATGTTGTTTCATAGACTTGGGATCTATAATATCTCACGGTCTAAGGCTTCAGAACATTGCGTTAAAATGAAAGATTATGTGAATCTTTGGTTAACAATTTTAAATTTAGTGGTAATTTGGATGCTGATTTGTGGATGATCAGATTCCAAATTAAGATTAAATTTAAGATTATTTTCCAAAATTCCTCACTATCTTAACTTTTAAGACTATGACCTTACACCTAAGAACTTTAGAAGCTTTGAACGTGATTGTACATTTTATTTCTATTCTGAAAAAGCTACCATAGTATTTCAGTGGTTTCATCTTTTCTTGCTCGCAGTCCAGTGCTATAAAGTGAGACTGAAAAGAAGCCATGAGCTTCCCAGGGGGTTGGAGGCACAACTGAGAATCATGGCTGGCTGCTTGCTCTCACCTACCTTCTGGTGATCAGTTACACAGCAGCTGGGATACAGCCTGGCAGCAGATTTCAGCCCATTTCTCCCAGCTGGGAGAGGTTAAGGAGGGCACATTCAAAGAAAGGACATGAATACCAACAGAAAATCCCATTGGGGTTTTATTTAATAACATTTAACATTCTCTATTAAGATTTTTGCCCTTGAGAGTAAAACCTTTCATAATTAAGGTCGTGATCTGTCAAGGAAGCAATAGAGGTTATATGATTTGACACTTATCACAATCCAAGTCTGGCTTCCTGATGCACAGAGACTGAATGAAACACCTAGGCCTGTCTTAATAGACTATTACTAGCATTTAATCCTTATATATATCAATTGGTTAAAGACACTGGAATGTAACATTCAAAACTTCAGAGGCATGTATTTCCCTTTACTGCTGGTTGCAGTCTGCAGCGATGTGGATATGTGTGTGCCTGTTTTGACTGGGATAGCAGAATGGAAGGCAGTGATAGAATAATCCAACGTGATAAAGCACTCACAATACTACTTTATACATTGTGCTATGTATAATACAATATACTTGTAAGTGTCATATGTAACCTATGTTTAAACACATCAGTATTAGAGGATTTGCAGGTGCCTGTAATAATCAATTGACAACAATTGAAATGGTTTGTTGTTTGGTACATAGATAAGATCATTTAGTGTGAGTACTATATAGATACCAATACATGAATAGGTATGCATATAGTAGATGGTGCAAAGGACCAAAATATCCTCTATGGACAATAGAATGATGGAACAGCCTTGAGGCCTACTCATGTTCCTATGACAAAGTACAGAAAGAAAGAAAAACATATGTGCCCATTGATCTTTATCTCTCATCAATTCTTCTGTTTTTTATAACATATAAAGAGCACAGAGTTAGATTCAGTGTACACTTCTGGGATATTTTCAGAATTTGCAAGTTATTGTCCACAGCATGGATGGATTCTGGAGGTTTTATGAGTTGAGACTCCCTGTCTTTCCTTGGAATTTAGGCATCGACATTGCAATATTGCTGAACACTTTCAGTTCCTTAATTATCACTGGAATGTATATAGAAATGGCATAATTCTGACCCCTATAATGTTTTTTCAGTACTGACTACTGAAAATATTCACTGGGTTCGACCTCCAAGATCTTGTCCTATGTGAGCTTCAAATGGTTTATTCTTGTGGAATCAGTCAAATATGGCTACTTTGTCACATGTATGTTATTTTGTCTATCAAAAAGAGATGACACCCAAGTGAAGCCATCCCTTTGACAAGTTTGCTCACAGCTCAGAGATTAAATCAACCGGGGGCAGATAAAGGTTCTGCTGTGAGCTAAATCAAGCAGACAGTATAATAGCTTTGGAAGGTTTCATCCAAGGTGTTAGTTACGGTAGGTACAACAAACAGCATAGCACAGATTACCCACCTATAGATGCCAACAGGAGCCCTCTTTTCCTCCAGAGATTTTCTCCTGTCAGATTCCTTGAAACTAAACCCAAAAAGCAGTTATCAAAACCATTTTTAGCATTTTATTTTTGGTCAGCCGGCTGTCTGACACAATACAATTATTTTATATAGTGCCTTTAACACAGGAGGACATCTCATAGCGCTTTGGACAACCCTACTCATTAGGGCTTTGGGTAATTGAATGCTAAGAACTCCAGTGACCAGTCAGCTCCTCCACGTTTTACTAATGAGGCAGGCTGGCTGGGCTGTCATCAGCAATACCCTGGAGTAATCCGGATCCACCTGGCTCAGGAACTGGACTATCACGCCTGTCATAGAGAACCAATTTGATTCTGAAATTGCATTACCAGTTATATCACCTTTAAGCCAACTCAGCTCCAAGAGAGACCTGCTTACCTCCCCTTCCTCAAGGAGGATAATTCCAGCATATTGTTACCAGACAAAACACTGCTCTCCTCCAAGAGCTTTGCATTTCTTATTATGTTACAGCTTTTGAGACAACATGTCTTTATCCTCTGTGGGGTGTCTGTAAGCAG